AGTATCCCCTTTTAAACAAAGTTCCGTTGTCCAATGTATACCGAGCTGCTCGGATCTGAAGTGCACGAGCTTCTTTTGGGTCTGGGGGCAAGGCCCCAGTTTCCAAATAATGAATAATAGGATCCATCCAAGTTGGTGTCTTTTGCGGTGTCACCGGATCGATAGTTGCGACCTCGAAAAGTGCAGTCGACGGTTGTTCTTGCTGGCCGATTTGGACATACTCCGCGCTCTCCATTCCGGTACTTGAGGCCAGCCGAGATAAGACATCTGCTCGAACATTAAGAGTTCGGGGGATGTGTTCGAGGTCGGCGGAGAATTTTGATAATTTTCGTTTGGCCAAAGAGAGATAAGGTGTCAACCGAGGTTCTTTGACTTCATATGAACCATTGATTTGGTTGACAAGGAGTTGAGAGTCCGAAAAGACTTTAAGGTGTCTCACGTTCATGGATTCCGCCAAATTCAATCCGAATAGCAAGGCTTCGTATTCGGCTTCGTTGTTGGTTGCCGGGAAGAGAAACTTCACTGAATGACAAAATAACCGGTTTTCCGGGTCAGCTAAAACTATTCCTGCGCCTGCTCAGTTGGCTGTTGAAGATCCATCAATATAGAGGACCCATGGTTGATCATCATGATGAACTGTTATGGCCGGAGTGAACTCGGCAATGAAGTCAGATAAGGCTTGTGCCTTGATCGCGGTCCTCGGTTGATAATGGATATCGAATTGTCCGAGCTCAATGGCCCATTTGACCATGCGTCCCAAGGTATCAGGTCGGTGCAGGATTTACCGAAGTGGATACGAAGTGCGAACAGTTATAGAATGTTCTTGGAAATAAGGTCGCAATTTCCGGGCTGCTATTACAAGTGCAAACGCCAACTTTTCCATCGGAGGGTAACGCAGTTCGGCATCGTGCAAGGCTTTGCTGACATAATAGATAGGTGGTTGCAACAGTTCTTCTTCACGTATCAGAACAGCGCTAATGGCAGAATCACCGACTCCGAGATATAAGAACAACATTTCCTCGGGTCTTGGCTTTTGTAAAGTCGGAGGAGAGGCAAGCGTCTCCTTGATGCTAACGAGAGCTTTTTGGCATTCCTCGGTCCATTCAAAACGTTTTCCTTTTTTGATTGCTTCGAAAAAGGGTCTGCAACGATCTATAGACTTGGAGATGAACCAGTTGAGTGCAGCAAGTCGGCCGGTGAGGGCCTGAACACCCTTAACCGAGGTCGGGGGAGTTAGATCTTGAATGGCCTTTATTTTAGCCGGATTGGCTTCAATTCCGCGCTGGCTGACCATATAGCCCAGAAATTTTCCCGATTCAACTCCAAAAGTACATTTCTTAGGATTTAAGACCATGGAATAAGATCGGAGGATGGCGAACATGTCTTGAAGATGCATTATATGATCAGAGGCGTGCACCGACTTGACGAGTATGTCATCAACATAAACTTCCATAGTGTGACCGATCAGTGTAGCGAACATTTTGTTGACGAGAGCGTTGATATGTGGCTCCGGCGTTCTTTAATCCAAATGCATCATTGTATAACAGTACAAGC